GGGGAAATCTGGCACCATTAAGAAATTACAAGAAACAGTTAACGGATTTATACACGAGACAGCAAGTGACCGAGTAGCAGCTAAAAGTCAACAGTTTCTTTTCTGTGCCAGCCAAATGGCCCGCGATTCTAAGTTAGTGCAAGAAGAGAAAAAGTGTGAATTATACACAAAACTGAAAGGGCAGAAATGATAACCAACAGAGAACAATTATTTACTCACTTCAAGCAAAGTAACCGAGAAAAATAAATTGTAATTGTGTAGAATAAATCCAGTTTCGAGTGAACCCGTGTGGAATCACTGAAGTTGTTTTATTTATTTCAATAAACTGAAAACATTTTTATTTTGTATCACCTTTCACTATACTTATATTTCAATACAAGAAATACATTCTGACAGTCCACATGAGTTTGTCATACTGACATTTAATTATCAGTTTAATAATCCTGATGCATACTGTCAGTTATGCGAGAAATGCAACAGGATTTCATAGAAGCCAACACACAACGCTAAGCAACGATTAAGAATACTTATTGATTACTACCTTCAGAAGCGAAGAGTCAACGAAACAAACGGATTCACACTCTGATCTCTGGAAGTAAAAGATTTGTAATCAGAACAATACCCCATTAATGGGATTTGAGGTTCTCGTGGCGGTGAGTACGAAGTTGGCCGTCTTCTGGGATGTAGCACTCATCGATCTGATGATGGAGGCAGTAAGGACCTCTGAAACGGTGCTAAACATCTACCAAACTACAAAGTGCTACAGCCCAGAAGACGGCCATCCAAGTACCCCTTCTTTGTTCCCCCCTAATAACTCGTTTTCTTATAACACGACTTCAGCAGTCTTTGGATTCTACAAATTATATTACCATAATCAAATCACATGACATAAATGAAAATATCCATTGGACATATGAAAATACTGCTCAAAAATAATGAAAAATTATTATTAATATGCACCTGGTTTTAATCTGGGAGCCATATTACTTGTAACTTAACAGTGTGTTGTGACTGCTATGATTAACGCTGGCCAACATTGAAATACAAAAGGAATATGACTAAGCATTTATATTGCTGGTTCCCTTATAAACACATTTGCATTCATGTGATCTGTACCAATATTTTAATCTCCAAACAAAGTCAATATTTCTGAGAATTTGAACTTGAAGGCGAGCCATTTGTTGAAGTTGCTTGTGACATAGCAGGTGATTTGGTGACCATACCATCACCAGCAACTAATGACCTCTTCACAGCCTGCGCATAACCACGAGGTTTTGTGTTTACATTGTTCATATTTTGTGAGGCACCCCGTACAGCTGTTGAAGATGGAGAATCCGATGCTTCAGATTGCAAACCTCGCCGGACATTTGGGGAATTATCCGAGACATCTGTGACTTTGGATTTACGGACTGCTCGGCCAAGTCCCCTGCCTCCTCCCCTCCCGTGTCCACCCGGACGTTGTTTATTGCTACCGGCACAAAAGTTCTCAGTGGAAGGCGATGATGTTGCATTCTGCGGCTGGCTCATCTGAATCTTCATTTCCGTGACAAACGCAAACGCATCGGAGGAATTGTTATAATCACTGGAAGCCTCTTCCTTTGCCACAACCCTCGACTGGTTGTATTCGACAGCATCGTTACAGATGCTTTGATTTTTACCAAGTTTAGGAGCTACTACACTAAAAACATCTGATACAGATGGATTTTTATTATTAATACCGCTGCTACTGTTACCTGCAGTGGATATCTCTTCTTGGAGCATCTGTGGCAGTACAATTTCTGCAACATTTGTAATAAGTAGTCTGAGCAACACTTTCAAATGTACATCATAAGTAACTACAAACAGCATAGTCCTTAAGCAGTTAATAACTGCTTAGCTAGTCAAGAAATTCTCTGCCTTTTACAGAACCCAAAGTTTCATTACCATGTTTACAACAACCACCACCGGTTCCTATCGCAAGCTAGATGAATCCAGCCAATTTTAATATTTTTTTCCATACACCTTCCTGCTTCAATACATCCTCAATATGAAATGCATCAAACATGTGTTTACATATATGGACTTCAGTATATGTTTTGCTTAAACGCATTTTAATTAGGCCGCGCTGTAGCCGCGTGGTCTGAGGCATCATGCTTCGGACAGGTGATACGGAATGTGCGCTGGTTCGAGTCTCGGGGAAAGAAATTTCTCATGAGATTTTCTACCGGTGTATGGGACTGGTCCCAACCCAGCATCGTGGGGAAATTGGGGAGCTACAATGGGTAGCGTAATCCGGTCATGGAAACTAGCAATTGCTGGGGGTTCGTCGTGCTGACCACACGTCACCCTATATCTGGTTGGATGATCGTTCACCTCTGCTTAGGCATGTGAACGTGAGGCCAGCAGCCAGCTAGTCGGCCTTGGCTCTCAGAGGGCTGTTACGCCACGGATAATGACTATTATTATGAACTAGTTTAACGGGAAAACCAAATTCAATGAGAATTTGTAGACTCTCAATTATCTGAGTTAGTTGGGAAACATTTTCCTACATAATCAAAACCCAAGATAATCCACAAAAATAAAAGAAAAACAGAAATAAGTTCATTTACAGACATACACTACTTATTTTTAAAGATTTACTAATAACAATTTTATGTAAAATTTAATACAGTACATGCTAACTCTTAAAAAAATAGTTCTATTGTCGTAAATTTCAGGTTTTAGAAACAACCAACTTATGTTAATACGTTAAAAAATATGTAATTGTACTTATTATGTTCTTTTTAAATGATCTAACTTTCACAACAGATTTTCTGAATTAATTTTTGTTTAAACTAAATAGACCCCAGTTAATCTCCCCCTGGATAATAAGGAGTTTACTGCAAAATACTTTTCCACTAACTGAACCCTTACAGAATTTCTTGAAGTCTCTGAACCACTTTTTCTCATCTATCTCCACTGATGAATGCAGAATATGTGACCAGTAGTGAACTAATTACACCAAAATCCACACTGATGATCCCCAATAACTTCATCTATATATGGAATTAATCTTTATAGACATTCATGTTTGATAGTCTTTAAATGCAGTTTTGAAAGGAAGGAAGATGTCGAGGAATTATTGAATGGTATGTATAGATTACTCAGTGAGCAGTGTGGCTTAAGGATAAACAAAAGTTATGAGGAGCAGCAGAAACGAGAATAATGACCTATTAAATATCAAAATTGGGAAAGACAAAGTAGAAGAAGTGAAAGAATTTTGTTATTTAGGAAGAAAAATCACGAAAGATGGACGAAGCAAGGAAGACATTAAAAGCAGATTAGCACAAGCGGAAAGAGCCTTCTTCGAATGAGAAGTCTACTAGTGTCAAACATTGACCTGAAATTAAGAAACATTTTTCTGAAGTCACGTGTTTGGAGCGCAGCGCTATACGGAAGCGAAATACGGTCAGTGGGAAAGCCAGAAAGAAGAAGGATGCTGAAAATTAAGTGGACTGAAAAAGTACGAAATGAGCTGGTCTTAGACAGGATAGGTGAAGGAAGAAGTCTACGGAAAAATCTTACGAGAAGAAGAGATAGGATGGTGGGACACATTCTGAGGCACCCAGGATTGGTTAATTTGGTAATGGAAGGAACAGTTGAAGGGAAGAATTGTAGGGAGAGACAAAGATTGGAATATGTGACGCAGATTTTTGAGGATGTGGGCTGTAAAAAATATGCGGAGATGAAGAGAATGGCGCAAGATAGGCGAAAATGGAGGACCGCATCAAACCAGTCAGAAGACTGATGACAAAAAGAGAGAGAGAATAACAGGAACATTCCTCAGTAATTACTATTGTATTATCACCCTTAAGTAGATTCCTTCCACTGCTCTGGTATTTCTTCCTTATTCCAAAATAAAAAGTTTGTGGATCTTAGAATGCAACATTTTAACTCCTGCTTTGATCAATCCTGAAAAAATGTAATCAATACTTGCAATTATTACCTTTTCAACTCTTGAACAGCAACCGCAACCTTTAAATAACTACGCTCAGGAACTAATGGCTCAGTTACATGTATTTCAGTCCAATAATCAAACTCAATTCAAAGTCCAGCAACAAGACATTATAAAACAGCACAGAATATCGCACTGCAGTCATGCCATATATAAGGGACTCTCCCTGTCTAACAAAAGAAGAAAACTCACTAATCCACCTATTAAATGCGGTGCCTTAAGACCAATAATTAATAAACCATGTCTTCAATATTTTTCACACATTATTCCAGTCATCATGTTAAACACCGCCCAGTGTTTGCAATGTATATAAAATATTAATGATCATCATCCAACTGTAGATGGGAGGAGAGCTAACACCCAAAACATCACATTTATTAACTGGGATACTGGATACTGGGAACGACCCATTCTTTAAGTGCCTCAGCACTGCGGGTCTCAACTTTTCGTTGGCTTGATCTATTAGACAGTTGGTAGGACTCCTTGGACGAAGGATCGGCCCATCGCAAGGCCTCTACCTGTACACAGGACAGCACAACACAGAAAAACGCGGACAAACATCCACGGCTTGAGTGGGATTCGAACCCACGGTCCCAGCGACCAAGCGGCACAAGGCCTACGCCTCAGACCGTGCGGCTACTGCAGACCCCACATTTATTAACTACCTAACTAATTATTATCAAACGTTGCAAAAGCAGTCCATGCTACTTATAGGCACAGCACTCTCAGCCACATTATTTGTTCATTTGTAATAGGTTTCCAGAGCTTTTACAGTCAATAATACAGCTTTTGGAAAATAAACTGTGATCATTTACTGTGTGTGACAAACACAAGACTTTAAGGTAATCAGAAGCAACGTGAAATCATAGCAAGTTCAGAAAGTTTTATGTGAGTGTGAGTTGTGAGCATGACCGTAGAATAAATCTCTTTCTACAACCTAGCGATCATCAGCAGGCTTCTCATGGGCGTGACGGAACTGGAATCCAGGACTTACATGCAAGACAAAGTCGGTCGAAGAAGTTTTTAAATTAAGCGATTAGATACTGAACAAGTATCGCACAAAGTCTTCTTGGTGCATATGAAGAAAAGCTGTTTCCATTTCAAACATATTGGTACCATAGTTTGGGACAATGATGACGATGACAGTTGCTGTCATCGTCATCATGTGGCACTGAAGCACCCCACTTAATGGTACCTGCACCTTGTCCTGGTAGTGGGGCTTGAGTACCTCAGTGACCCCAAGAGCTACTGGTAGGGCCTCAATAGCCAGATTGGTCGAGGGAGAGAGGTCAGACTAGGACAGGTACCCTGGTCCTCCAGGTTGGGGGTTGGTCGCAAGGCTAACAACCTTGCACCGTAAAAAGGAAGATGTTTCGAAACCTCGATCAAAGCCTCGGACAGACGGACCTAACAGAGGACCGAATGGAAGAAGAGAATTGAGGAGGCCATGGACCGTATACGGACCGGAGAGCCATAGAAGAAGCATTAAACAGCAATCATGCATATTTGTATATATTTCTAGGATTGGAAAGCCACATTAATATAATCCACTTAATATTTCAGTTAAAACACTACAAGTTTGGATAAACATGGTAACTCAATCAGTGGACTATGTCCAACATACAAGCCATTAAGCCTTGCAATTATTGTGGAAAAAATAAGGTTTATTGGCACTGACTGTGGAGAATATGGGGTTTTGGGCATAGTGTGGCAAGAGATTTTAGGGCAAATGTTTTCACATCAACAAATCATGTACGTACCATCTGAAATTAATCCTGGGTGCAGTCGAAGAGTAACAATTTCTCTCTCCAGCTCAGATATTCTTCTCTCAGAGTGCTCTATATCACTTATAAGATTTTTCATGTGCTCCTGCAAAGCCCTCTGGATGTTACACACTAAAGACGCATCTGAACCCTTTTCATGAGCAGCCCTGTACAAGTAACATTTTTGTTAAATATTGCTAATCCTGCTTTTATAAGTTCAGTAAATCACAATACTGAATAAAGTTTATGCAATTTTCTTTTTACCACATCCAATGCAGCATGTTCTCAAGAAAGAATTCTCCGACCTTGATGAACATACAGGTAAAAACAATGTAAAAGTGATAAAAATGGTACGAGCATTAAAAACACTAGAGAAAAAAATTACCAGGATCTTTCTGATTATAACCTGACTTCCTAGCGACACTCTGAAATTGGTTAAAAATCAGAGACATCTTCATATATTCAGAATCCATATTTACGTTCCGACCACACAAAATGCAAAAAGTTTCAAAAACTCAAGTAAAGTATTCGATATCTGTAAACATTTGGTGTTGCTGCGGAGGTATAGAAATCTCTACAGCTGTAAACAGACCAAAATCCCAGGCGACAGATCACTACCATACAATCTGTTCACAACATAAACATCCCATAGGCAGGACAGAGATTACTGAAAGCACAGACTCAAACCTACAAACTCGTACATAATGAAAGACAAGCCGTGGTCTCAGCAGTGCGGGAGACACGTCAAAGCTTGAACCTGCAGCCTTTAAACTTAGCAACAGCACTAACTGACAAGAGACTACGTCACTCGGAGAAGGTGCTGTGAGGAAATGCCGTTGCACGCACAACCTTGGATACAAATTTGTATTTGAATAAGTTGGATGGTTGCACAAGTGACATCAGTGCATTAAAACTCAACTTCAGCACTTATTCAAACAAATATACTGGCTGATATTTGTTTGTGCCTGTATACCAAAGTCCAAAATTGAAAAATTAATTCAACCTGGTTATTCCCTCAGGAATATATAAATAAAAGCAACTTCATATCATATAAAGGTGAATTACACATTGATTTATTGATTTCCTAACATTACCATCTGATACTGTTTAATCCTATTAGTCCTCTCACGTTTCTGTCATCAGCTCCATTCCCCCTAAAATAAAATACCCTGATGATCCTTCTAGCTTCACCAGATAAACTACACTCTATTGAAATTAATCAGTTGAAGAAGGGACTGTGATATAAGAATTCAAATGCCTACAGTAGACATTTATTCTTATTATAATAAATTGTTAATTTGAAAAGTGCAGAATGAATTAAGACAGCATCACAACCCTGAAGAACATCATATTCACTGAAATGAAAATCTAAAATTTCAAACAAAATAGTACTATCTGACACTGATAAGATTTGCTTGGAAGACAAGATAAGAGATAAAACTCATGCAACTGGTTAATGGTCTGAGTACAGTACAACTAACTAACCAGATGGCTTACCAAAGCCAAAGGTTCATCACCGAATTAACCAAAGCCCTCCACCGGACCCTGTCCTGGGCCAACAAAATCCAGTCTCCTTCAACTCCTATCTCCCATAGATCCCGCCTGACATTATCCTCCCATCTACGTCTAGGTCTCCCCAGCGGTCTCTTCCCCTCAGGCTTCCCAACCAATACCCGATGCACGCTACATGCCCAGCCCATCTCATTCTTCTCGACTTAATCACCCTGACAATATTGGGGGAGGAGTACAGATTTTTAAGTTCATCATTATGCAGTTTTCTCCATTCCCCATCGTCTTCTCTCTTAGGCCCAAATATCCTCCTCAACACCCGATTCTCAAACTCCTGCAATCTGTGTTCCTCCCTCCGAGTGAGTACAGTACAACACAGGACAAAAACAGCAAATGACATGGCTGGGACAGATTCATGGCCCGGCATGTTTCACTTAAGCAAAAATTCATTATGCATACAAATAAACCAATTTATAATTAATGTTTCTAATACTATGAGTCAGCCCTACCCGAAGTATATGAAACGAGAGACTTTCAACTTACGTCAGAGAAGAAATTATGCTGTTGAAAGAATCCGACAAGCACGCTTTACTAGGAACTAACTTGTACTCTGTCTGTGGAGCTTCACCCAGATTATGAATCTGTACAGGGAGCGATTCAAACATCCTGAAAAATCATATACAATTCACAACACAGTATACACATGACATGACAAATCAGTTAACATTAAAATGAAGTACACGTCTGTAACAAATGTCTCCTGTTACAGTATCAGTGACCATCACGGCAAATGCCCACCTAGTGAACTGAAAGAATCCCGCCTCTCAGAGTTAATCTTTCCTGTTTCAAACCTTTAAAATAAAACCATGTGATGTCGGAAATATGGCCTCCATCACGGTTTGAAGCCAGCATTAAGCTCTTGGACTGCTCTACCAGTCATCGCACAAATCACGCAGTAGTAACGTAATCTGAATCTCGATTCTCCCAGTAACTTAATGCAATAGCAATGTTAAAGAAATGAGTGTAGCTGATTCATGCAATGTATAAAGCAATATTAAATATAAACACAAACAGAAACATGTTATACTTCTTCTTTATTACGCCGTCTCCTTTACAGGAGGTTGGCGACATATTATGAACAGGATCCTTCCATCCTTTTCTCGGACTGGGACCTGTTCATATACGTTCTTGGCAGATGATCCAGAAGTGTTTTGCCATTGCCTTCTTCTGTGTGTGAATGGAGTAATTGTTGGGATGCCACGGAGGAAAACTCCGTGTTGCCTAGACCACGGCCTTGCCCAACACAAGTTATAAATTCGGGCACCGCCGGGAATCGAACCCGAGACCCCAGGATTACAAGGCCAGCCTTCTAACCGCTAGACCACCTCATCTTATTATTATTTAGTGTTCTGTCTGATGACAGGTCCATATGGACAGGATCCTTCCATCCTTTTCTCGGACTGGGACCTGTTCATATACGTTCGTGGCAGATGATTCAGAAGTGGTTTGCCATTGCCTTCTTCTGTGTGTGAATGGAGTAATTGTTGGGATGTCACGGAGGAAAACTCCGTGTTGCCTAGACCACGGCCTTGCCGACACAAGTTATAAATTCGGGCACCTATTTTTTAATTCCCCTCATACTTTAAGAAGTTCTACTAACCTGTGACGGTAGCGTATGAATTTATGGTTGAAGATGTGGGTTGAACCTTGGGCAGACACTGACGTGTTAAGGAGACACAAAGTAAAGTGTTCTGATGAGAGATGAGACAATGATGAACACAGTTGTTTGTGCAGAAGCTTATCTCGAAGGTGTGGGGTAAGTACGGAGTTACGGCGGAACCTGTACCATCCAACCACTTCCTTAAAAAAAAGAAAGAAAGAAAATATACTACAAAGCAAACAGGTAATATCTGCAGGAAACTCACAAATTTTCAAAAATTGAGATTATGTGAAAAAGTTTTCTTTTCTGCCTGTAATTTGAAAAAGGCAAAGTGATAAATGAGGGTTGATCTTTAAACTTCTTATTATCAATATTAAAAATCTGATTTTAATTCACAATGATTCTGCCAGTACTATATGGAAAACATCCTGAAAATGAATAAAGGGAAGGTATCAGGAAGAAGACTACCAGGTGGATGACGAAGATGTGATGGTGGCTATAAAGGGAAAAGGAGCAGAAGTAGAAGTTTCTGTTCACCAATTTATGCCCCCTGCAAATATGTGAACATAGTATGAGTAAAACTCCATTCTTCACAAATGCATAATAAAAAATGTCGGTATAGTAGAGTCCCTGATGCTCCCAAGTTGTGATGATGAGATGTTTTACATATTTTCTGGGACTGCACCAACGCAACTGAACACGGCAAATGTTTCCAAGTGTTCTGACAGAATTCAGCACCTTTCTTATTGTCAATCATGCTCCCAGTACGCCATCTTGATCACTGCTGCTTCATGACATTACCACCAGGGACAACACATTGACTAATGAACACAAGGGACATTTGACATGTAGTAAGGTAACAAATAAACTGGACCAACTTTTATGAAGGATCCTGTATATTCCATCACACACCTTCACAGTTGAATTAAAGTGGGATTATAAGAGTGTGTGCTGTTGCATAATTTAGCAACTAATGATGGTATTCAGTCCATCATACAACAAACATAATATATAAGACTTGAGGTTCTCACAGCGGTGAGTACGAAGATTTCTGTCTTCTGGGGTGTTGCGCTGTGTAGTGTGGTCGATGTTTACCAACGTTTCAGAGGTCATACTGCCTCCGTCATCAGGGCGATGAAGATTTCTGTCTTCTGGGGTGTTGCGCTGTGTAGTGTGGTCGATGTTTACCAACGTTTCAGAGGTCATACTGCCTCCGTCATCAGGGCGATGAATCATCGCAGTATGACCTCTGAAACGTTGGTTAACATCGACCAGACTACACAGCGCAACACCCCAGAAGACAGAAATCTTCAACATAAATATATACTACTGAGACACTAACTTTATTATGTAAGTACATTTCAGACATAAAATTACATATATGGGGTGTGTAATTTTATATTGTAAGTGCACTCTCTTCCTAACTTTCAAAGTTCTTAACGTCTCACCTGAAGATGGCCGTTATTCATGAAACATGTACTGTATACTGTGCAATCATTCAATCAATCAATAAAGCTGATGTCAGAGTAATACATATTTACATTTGCTGCATGACAGAATACCAAAATTTGTTATTATTCATTCAAATGGCATTTAAATGCTTTAAAGTGCAGAAATAATATAACCTCCAATCTATTCACTGCAATTCTTAATTCAGGATTTTTGAATAAACTGTAGATTATTAAGAATGATTCAATTTTCTCCTGCAGAAAAGGTTTTGAAATTACCAGCCTGACAGCGCAGTTTACATACCTTTAGCATTTTGATCTTTTGTTTTTAATAGTTTGTTTGTTTGTTTCTTGGCTCTACAACCCAGTTGTGGGTTTTTCGCTGCCTCCTTTTCGGAGGTTCTTGGTCTTCCAAGTGCGCATTTGTGAGTAGTGAGTGACAAACCCACTGACTCTGCACAACTTCTACTAAATCCTGATTTGACTGCTAGAGCCATCTAGTAGTGAATCAGGAGAGACTTTGGTGAGAAATGGCCACTGAATTTTGCTTATGAAACATCTCACTCAAGATCGTAAGATTCTTTTACATGCTGTAAATCTACGACATGGGACCGACGGCTTTACTTCCCCTCCGAAGGAAGTTGTGCTACGGATTTTTATCACCCTTAAAAATCCATTGACCTCGGCCGGGTTTGAACCAGTGAAGCTTGGGTCCAGTGGTGAGCACGCTAACCACTATTCCGCCGAGGGAGACCTTTTGCTTTTAATTGTTTCACAAGGCTAGGGTCTGAACACAGTCTTTCACTTCCTGGACAATTACCAGTGCCACAAAATAATTATTTGCGTGGCAAAATATGCAATTCTATTTGTTTATACTGTTAAGCGAACATACAAATATATAAAAATAAGCAAATACAACCTCTAATAATGAGCCAAGCTAGTGATAACCATTCTGACTTGCATACAGGCAGTGACCAGTTTGTATCTTGACCGTGGCACAGACTACCCTTACTGGGGGGGACTTTCTTGATTTTCCTCAGTCATTCCAAGTGAGTGATTGGGTAATACTTTGAAATATACCATGACTGCACAGAAAATACATTTGATTACATGCAATATTTGTAAAAATAAAGCAGACCCCAAAGATACAGTCCAACTAGACAGACTTATTTTGGTACTGACGTTTCAATTACAAATGAATTTGTTACAAATACAAAGACTCAGCAGCGTCGTAAGATATAAGACACCGTTTGTTGAATGCATAACATTGTTAACAATACCACGACGCGGCAAAACAACAGTTCCGTTCAGCTAAACACACTTTTTAGTGGGACATATATATCTGCATAGACCTAAATGGCTAAAATATTACTTAATTTGGTGAACATTTATTGAGACAATCATTTAATTAAACCTCCATATAATGTAATAGCCCTGGCTCTCAAAAAATTACATGACAATAAAAATCCTGAATATAAAATCTGACCAACCACAAATTACGAAAAGTGCAACTGACAAATGCAAGGAATTTTTATCACACACATTAACATTTAATGCATGGGAACAGTGATTTAACTCTCTGAATACAAAGATGCTGATAACTTTAACTCCAGGGTTACCAGATTAGGGATATGCTAGTGCAATGGACAGTTGGACGAGTCATACAAAAAGCTACAGCACATGGATGATGAAGGTTAAATATCAAAGCTCCAAGAAACTCTTTGAATTAGAACAATTTTTAAATAAATCACAAATCTCAGCATACTTAATGTGGAAGGAAAACATGTTTCAAAGACATACTTTTTCTTTTTCCTTCAGAAACTCCTTGAGCTTGTCACGACTAACAATCCCGATACCATTACATAATTCCACGGAATTTGGTATTGGCATCAAAGAATTCACACCTAGAACAAAGGCAGAAATTCATTAATTACACAGAAACACAAAATACAAACCAAACTGAGAGATTAAAAACATTTATTTGCATACAGGTATAATATAAGTTGTATACATGTCACAGCTTATATGCAGTCCAACTGCCCATGTGTGACATCAGTATAACCCCCAACAACCTACAATCTATTGTGTACACAATACTAAATCTTCACATCATTATCATCACATCTTCAACAGGTCAAGGATACAGATTCATGCATTACAATAACAAACATCTCCATTAAGTAGGATCTGAGGTTTTCAAGGCAGTGAGTCTGCCTCCAGCATCACAGTGATCACATGGAGGCAGCAAGGACCTCTGAAACGTCCTTAAACTAATAATCAGATTACATGGCACTACAACCCAGAAGACAGCCATCTTCACCATCTCCAATTACTGCTTTACCAACCAAATGAAAATGCCTATTCGACAATTCCATAATACAATAATGTGAAACAACATTAACTACAACTTAGTTATAATAAACTACAACATAACTGACACGCATGGTCTATGGAACAACGTTTTATGTCATACTGAAAAACTTCCAATGCTGCACTTAAGGCATTTCTTTTCATACTACTTGGTGGTTAAATGAACTTTATGACACTATGCTATGTTATGTTACAATATATCACATCACTATAGTAGTCTTTTCGGATGAGTGTCAAGTTTCTAATCCAACTACCTGAGAGGTATCTATTAAACATATGTACTCACTTATCTGTGTCTCAGTTTTCTCCCCACGTATCTGGGAATCGCTTATAGTGTCGGTAACATGACTTACAACTTCTCCTAGTAGAAATCCTTTCTGTAAAACATAATAATACATTGTTTTCCTGATTCTCCTTTAGTGGCGGGATTGGGATGAGATATACAGAAGTTAAACCACACTCGCAATTATGTAAACACCAACTGAATACTGTATTGCATACAGTACAATATGAATACAAACACTGTTTATAAAATTACCTGATCACTTGCACTTTTCACGTTTTCGTAAAGCAGAAATGACAACGCAGGACCAGAAACGCCAACATACACATTCGCCGCCATATTGAAAACGTACAACTAACACGACGAACGGGCTAAACACAAGTTCTGTAGCAAAGCACATGTTCATAATACATCCCGTCACCAACGATTACAAACAAGTCACTGAAAATAAACCGAAGTGGAATGGGATAATGGTAACTAACTGGAAGAAGAAAATTTGTTGCGAAGAAGATAGTCGGTCAACTAGTCAAAATATTACCTGTTACAAAACATCAAGGTTCATTACCGAGTCCGCCATCGGAGTGCAACAACCTCACGCCCTATTTCTTCATGATCCATTTTAATATTACCAAATTAACTAATTCCAGGATTTCTCCTGCACTTCTCCAGGACATCCTCACGACCACGCTAGAAATTCTCCAGGACACAAAATAACTCATCGTAAAACAAAACAGCCTTATCTAAACTAACCTACACAACCTAAGCTTACCTTACCTAAACTAACTGAACCTAACCTAACCAAAACCAACCTAATGTAAAGCAACGCAACCTAATCCAATGTAACACATTCCAATCAAACTTAAACGAATCAAAAATAACTGACCAGCATAGGATCAAATCCACCACCGATTAAGGACGTCCACATAACCTTCCAGGACTTCTCCATGATCAAAGAACTTCCGCATAATCTCTCCAGGACTTCTCCGGCACTACCCTAGGACTTATCCAGGACTTCTCCACAGGGCTGTGGAGTCGAAGTCGGTAAAAATGTACCGACTCCGACCTCGATATAAAATCTTAAGAACAATTTCTATACCGCGTGAGCCGCCAGCGGCCTCACACTTAGGGAGGTTCAATGACCCGTTCAGCCACGTGGTGTGGGAATAATTCTTTGTAACTTTGGCTCTGGTACCTTAAGAATACAAAATGTCTACAAATCAACCGATTTCTGCAATAACCATTAGACATATATTTAAATATAGGTTATGTAAGTCTAATATGTAGGCTGATGATCCACGTGGTGGTGATGAAATCCCTTATGGTGACATTAAACATTTTAGTAGGTTTACCTTTATTAAAACATGTTAACTTTTATGAAAGAGTCGGAGATTTTAGTACCGACTTCACAGCCCTGGTCTTTACCGTAGTGAAAACTGCAAATCTCACTTACTAAGTGACTGTTGCAGGTTATTTCTGGAAATCTGTCAGTCTAGTGATTGCTCCTTTTGAGAAGCCTGAAGGTTCCATATGACTGTATTAATGAAAGCTTGCTGTTGGACACTACGTTGGTTGAGCATATTCTATTGCACAACAAAAACCTCTACTGGACCAGAGCTTTTTGAATCCAGTTCATAGCATTTCTTTATGATCAACTTTGATAATTTTCTAACATCTGTGCCCAGCTCTACAATTAGTCTCTTCCTTTGACATTTCCCAACCACAGTTTAGTATGCATTACTCATTTCCCCATTGTATGCTACATGTCTTACCCATATCTTACTTTTTTGATTAAATCACCCCAATTTATTTGAATGGTATAAATTGTGAAGCATTTCATTATGTAATTTTCTCATGCATCTTTTACATAAAAACAAAGAAAACCAGTTTTAAATTTTCAGTGCTAACCTTCATTTGCCCTGTTAAGAAACTTCAGATCCAGTCAAATTATTAAAATTAAAATATTTGTTTAAAGTGCAATATTTATTGCCACAGGAATTTTATTTGTTGTATAAATGTGAATAATGATATATACCTTACAGTTAATTTTAGACATTCACATTTTTAAACCTACTTATGCAGTTTGTAACGTCAGTGAGAAAGGAAACTTTGTGTGTTTCCTAACATTAACCAAATATGCACAAAAACTAGCGCATTGGAAATGGACCAGGTGCAATGAAGTTTGTATGGGTATAATGAAGACATGATTTAACCACATTAAACTTTGAAAACTTAAACAACAAAAATTGCGGCAATAAATACAAAATCATCTCTGTTTCAACAGGTGTCTTATTTACAGCTATATATAACCATTTATATGTATGTTATATTCAGTGTTATTGTCATAAATTATAAAGCTCATTTCACTGTAAAGACTTTCATTGTTTAATATTAATATAAAAATGCTTCTTGTTCTAATATTAAGTTGGCATGGATACCTCATACCTTTTTATTGCACTGTCGGCCCTCAAAATATCACATCTGTGAAAATATCACTAATATGTGTATGGAATATGTATGAAATTGTGTAAGTTTTCATAAATTAGTTTGTACATATATACAAGTTTGGCACTGCATAGAAACAGTAAAGAGATGTTTGAAGTTATGTCCATAAATAAATTCATTGCCTTTTCCCATATTTTTTCCTGGGTAGCTGTAGTAAAAAGCACGTACATTCTACAGTATACAGCACTCATTCAGTTCTTAAGCTTTGGTTTCTTGTTCCAACACTTCAAACTGAAAGTCGAGCAACTCGGAGTCTAAAATACTAACTCCGTATTGATCTCCGATGGCCACTACCTGGAGGTAGAACAGTCACAAAGCTTACATTCTCAGAGTCGCTGCTGCTAGCGCCTGCATCTTCTAATAGCACGGAACTATTCATTGTTCTCACCAGGTCTGACCCTACCCCACTGTCAACAGACTCAGTCACCACAGCGCACGTGGATAGCTTCCGGAAACTACCGAAGAAGAACGAGTCTGTCGCAATGCTCTCCGCGCCAGATTCACTAGCACCATCACATAGAGATTCATCAGTCTCACTTACGCTACCCTGTCCTTGGCTCGAATTCTGCCCTTCTGAAGCTTTTCGTACCTGCACGTGCCTATTGGATTCATTTGAGTCGGTGCTGAGGTAACCCGAGTCCTCTGGCTTGTGAGGTACTTCAGACGCTGACCTTTCAACCATGCGACGCCACGTCTTCCTCACCGAATCAGAGCTCTTCTTGTCTCGCAGATGTTTCATCAAATCTTTTCCCGCACTTTGGCGACTACGTAATGGGCTGTTGTCACTTTCTGTTTCCTTTGTGTAACTCTTTGTTGAGAGCGAAGAAATTCCTTGTACAGCCTTAAGTTTGACAGGCTGAAGAACAAGTTGATTGTTGTATCCAGTGTCTTGTGAGTTTGTAAATTTGTTTTTCAAACTTTGCTCTACCCGTTGGCCAAGTGTTTGACTCCCATCCGGTTCCTCATCTCCTGAGAAGGGTGTCATGTAAAATGCTTCATAGTCAGATGAGTTGAGGCTGTCCACAGAAGCACCAGACAGATTGGAAATTGTTTCCAGGTCTTGAGAAGCTGATGTAGATGTGGAGGAGATGGTAGAAATTTCATGGAAGATAGGACTGCTCTTTTCATGACATTTAGACTGTGGTAGAGGAGGTAGGGGTCTACGAGCAGGATCTGATACCATTCTCTTCTGGCTGATGCTTCTGCCAGCCCCGTTTTTTGGCGGCAGAGGTGGCTTTATTGATCTTGGAGGTAAGGGAGGAGTTGACTCGATTTTGTATAGGGGTCGTGGAGGTGGTGGATCTTCATACAGGGAACAGGCTTTTGGAGGTAAGGGTGGTATAATGTTAGGAGGTTCAGGTTTCTGAGGACCACTGATTATGCCTGGTGGTGTTGGTGGTCGCTGCCTCCTTGCCTGTTTTGCTTCCGGATACAGTATCATTCCTTCTGCAGGCAGCAATGGCTGTCTGCGTTTCCAGGACAGCGTATGGTTGTAGTCCAGTTCACTTGTCAAAGAGCGTGTGGACCCCACAAGACTGACACTGTCCATCTCAACACGATGTTGGGTACGGGCTTCGTATATCTCACGGAGACTCCCAAAGCCCCTGTTCAATGGAGACGCAGTTAAGATCTGAGACAGATCGTCAGACCCAGTCTGACTCAAAGAATCACTTCTAAAGCTGCCAGTAGTACGAAGAAGAATTTGGACAGGCCTCTCTAGGGAGTCATTGAAGTTTTCTGTATGTCTGTTTGAACTTGAGACGGCAGATGTTGATTCATCTGCTTTGTGTTTATTTGGCTTTCTGTCAAGAGTATCTGGTTCAAAACTGTCAGAGTCATCTGGGAGGGGAATATAATTTTCTGGCGAATCTTCTACCTGGATAGTTAGGTGGCCGGGCTTCTCCACGGGTTCAGAGTACCGTATCTTAGGGCCGCTGGTGCTTCTAGAAGTGGTGTTGTTCGGTGAACTAGATGTACTGCTGAAATTGTACCCATCATTCACATACACTTCACTGACGAGACTGTATCCATTGCTGTTGTTCAGCAGTTGTGGAAGGTTATACAACTTAATATTATTGTTCATGTTCCCTAACATTGCATCAGGATTCAGTACAATAATTTCATACTCATGATCATCAGTGGATGCTTCTTTTGGAACACTGGTATTTTCCAGTTTTAGTTTGGAAATAGTTTTGCTTCCTGTCTGAATGTTAAAGATCTCATTTCGCATCGTGAGTACCTCTTCCAGAGGCAGTGCTGAACTTAGGCTTGAACTTGGCTGTGGTGACACATCCCCATATTCGGTTGGGGTAGAGATACCTTCTTCATCCAGCTCCCTTGATGATCGCTCCAGGCTGTCAGCTTCGTACTCTTCTCCAGAAGACTTCTTTTGATCTTCTGGAATGTCGTTCACAGTCTTCGTAGGTACATCTATGTCAGACATCTTTACTGTCTCAAGGCCACGCTGACCCACTAGCTCTTTTATCACTGCATCCATCAACTGTTTTGTTACAACAGGCTCAACCACTTCTTTCTTATTCTCCTTGCAGAAGACACTGTTAATCTTATCATTTACATCTGAGGATGGCAGTGGTGGTGGAGTAGGGCAAGGGGAAGTTTTCATAGCTGTTAGCTGCATCTTTGCTGCTGTGGGAATTACTGATGCATCCTTCTTTATGTGCTGCATTACTTTTGATGGCGGTGGTTGAGGTGGATGTACGAGTTTACCATTACAGTGTTTGGGATTTTGTATAGCATTAACTGCTGAATCTACAGCTTTGTTTCGCTTTGGAACTTCATCAGTTTTTGGAATGCTAGGAGCCTTCCCCTTCTGAGAGGATTTTCCACGTTCAATCGGGTTCGAGGCTTTTGAAGTGTCTTCCTTCGGCAAAATTTGGTCAGATATTTTTGTTACTGGCACATCTTCAAGCCATTTTCTGATAGAACTGTGTTTGTTCTCAGGAGCACAGCAGGCCTGGCAAGAAGCTATCTTCTCTTTGACAGTCAGTAAGCTGTCAACAGGCCTGGTGGTGCAACCAGGGCATCCAGGACATCCCCGGTGACGGGCGTTCTCTCGCTTAAGGCTGACGGTGCCTACGCTACCGCGTTTGCTTGAGAGTCCGCCATAATAGGATCCATTTGTGAGATCCTGCTGCAGTTGTTCCTCTTCAGGGATTCCTATCAATGTTGGAGAGAATCGTTTTGCCAACATCTTATGCTTTGCGATGGAAATCACCTCCCGGATCTTTGTGAGGAATTCGATAGCGGCAGGCGGTGGAGCCTAAACAGAAACAGGAATCATGATCATGCAAACAAAACACAATGAGAAGATCAGATGACAAGAGTCTTTGGACAGACGACATGAAAGGAAGAGGCCACTTGGAAGACCCAGGCATACGCTGGAAGGTGATGAACCCTTGGATTTCATAACAGGTTAAAAGGTGAAAAATTTCTTGACTAGCTGAGTAGCTTATGAGGAAGGTATCTGCTCAATAGAGTTTGTTTAATGAAACTTCACTGGAGCTAGAATTTTGTAAGAATTTTCCTGTATGTGTTCCGTGTTTTGCCCAAATCTCCGTTCTTGATGCGATCATCCTAATAATTACAGAATAACAATCATGAAGCTCCACCCTGAACTTTGCCATACTTTTTAAAGAAAATGTTAGCTATCTTTATATTACGATTCTGTCAGTCAATCAGTTATTCTGTTAGGTAACCAGATAATTATTTAATGATACATTTAATTGCTTATTTAAGAAGTTTATGGATTTATTAAGAAGTCGGTGAGTTTGTTAATTACTGTATATCCTCAATTTTAAGATGCCACTGATTACAAGGTGCACCCTTGAATTAGAACTAGATTTTCAGGAAGAAAGATGCTCTATTAGTTCTTAGACGTTATCAAATGTACACTGATTTATGAAATTTTAGAATGTGACAAAAAATTTGTAATATAATCTCTTTGTTACTTAGCCAATTTGTTACTAATTTTAAGTTAATTATGAACCAGGATGTTTATTTCTACAAAGTTATTTTATTTGATATTAATGACCACATTTGATTCGCTGTAGGGGCAGGGTTTATTTCTTTGCCACCATGTTTACGAGACCCATCGAACCTTCTATCCAAGCAGGCTTACCATTCACTCTGATTTAATACCAGGGCGTAGAAAGTGTAGCTCAGTGGTCCCCAACCTTTTTTGTGCCTACGGGCACATTTTGAGAGTTTATGAGATCGTAAGATGTACTTTGGCACAGAGAAAACTGTAAGTTACTGAGTTACTTGTCTCGACGTTGTTCTTCCGGGTTATATATTCCATGTGGTCTAGTAGGCAGATGCCATTGCTTGTCTGGAATGTTTAGTGTCTACCTACAAGTCCACATGGCGTTACAATCCACAAGACAAGATCAACATTTTCACTGTCACGAGAATCTCAAAAATCTCATTTAGTTAACCGTGATCAAACTGTGAGGAATCTGGGAAAATTTGCCCGAGGCGCCGCAGTTTACTTACAACAAGAAGCTCTGGCTCGAAGTACGCGGGATTGAAGTACAGTTTCCTTCGTGCTGTACCGTTCGTTATGGCTCGGACAGTCTCTGGTCTTTCCTCTCGTCCTTCTAGAGTTTCCACTATGGATACATTCTCTTCTGGTAACCGTTCAATGGAACTTTGTTCTTGAGTGTGAATTGGCTCTGAGAAGCAGAGTTCATCGGGTTGCATGGAGAACGACATGCCACAGGAATGCACCAGCGCTGCTGTCACCTGGACCTGCAATGGTGATCAAGCTCATAGTGTCCTTGATCTGTCTTAATTTCTGAGTTATTTAAAACTTTATAAACTGTATATGTAACGTGTCGTCAAATTGTGGGGTACATGAGAATAATTAATTAGAAATAACGTAGTACGAGGAAGCTGTGTTGGCCTGTTTAAGGTATTATGACAGAATTAATCTGGAGGGACAGAAAAAACAAATACATTACCTGGATAACAGGTCCCAGGGTTGAAATTTTAAAATTTGAAAAAGCGCTAACCACCAGACAACACTTGCTTGATGTTTCCTTCCATTGTGTCTATATTTATGAAGTATTTTTTGGAAATGGGTACTTTCTTTCCTTCCTTCTTAAATGTGTTGTCGTTTGTTCTCTATCAAAGTCTAACATCCTTATCCTTTTTTTGAGTCCTATCTCCCCCTGTTGCTGGTACAGTTGATTCTAGGAAGAAGGCAGGGAACTGATGGAGTCCAAGGAGAATAGAGATCTTGAGAAGCTAATACAAATGGTCAAGAAATTCCCACCTTCTATGCGACTAGATCTCATAAGCGTTCTCCCTGCGTCGTGTTTCTGACTAACGTATACATTTCTCTTGACTGAACTGTGATAAAAAATGGATATCTACAATTTTTTTGGTACGACCCCTGGTGACATGAACAAGTTCCCTCTGATAGGGACCTGTTCATGTGTTTCCTCAGCAAATGATCCAGAAGTGGTTTGCCGTTGCCTTCTTCCGTGTGTGATTGGAGTAATTGTTGGGATGCCACGGAGAAACTGGGGACGCCCCAGAGGAAAATTCTGTGATACCTGGACCACTGCCTTGCCCAACACAAGTTACTTTTTCTCGGACTGGGACCTGTTCATATACGTTCTTGGCAGCTGATCCAGAAGTGGTTTGCCATTGCCTTCTTCTGTGTGTGAATGGAGTAATTGTTGGGATGCCACGGAGGAAAACTCCGTGTTGCCTAGACCACGGCCTTGCCCAACACAAATTATAAATTCGGGCACAACTGGGAATCGAACCTGAGACCCCAGGGTTACAAGCCCAGTGTTCTGACCGCTAGACCACCTTGGCGGTCAGGATATCTACAATAAACACAGACAATCCCATAAATAAGTGCGTACTAACATTTTGGGCTATTCTGTTGTTGTCATCTGACATTGGAACGTCGGACACGGCGTCACTATCGGAGCAGCAGCTGCCTGAGTCACTGAGGTAGCTGCCAGCTTCAAGGGGGTGCCTCTTTGTCGCAAGCAAGGGGTTACTCTTCACTACCCCCTCATCAGCCCCAGAGAGGTGGACAGGCTGTCCATTACGGCGGTCCTGATGCTTGTCTCCGCGCCGCCGTCTCCTCACGTGCAAGTACAGAAACACTGACGCTACATAGATGAGTCCCAGCAGGATGGAGCACACTCCGATGGCTATATACTCGGTCACACTGAGCCCACGACCATCGCCATCTGCGTTGTGGGTATCAGCTGCAAATGACCACTCCCGCACACCTACCAACATATGAACAGTTAGTGCAGTGTCCAAAGGAGAATGAGATGGAACG